GCCGGTCCCGGAACGCCGCTCCTTGACACTCCTCGGGAGCCTTGAGACGGGTTCAATGCAAACGAGGGTCAGCCAGAGCACCAGATCCTGCAGGATCTTGCGAAGACCCCCTCTGGCTGACCTGGGTTAGCGAGCCGCTCGTGGCCGCGAGGCGGCCGCGCATATAGGTTGACCCAGGTTTGCGAAGACCTGCGTTGCAGTTTTTTTTTCCTGCATTGCAGTTTTTGGTTTCCTGCTGACCTTGGTCTGGATGGACCCGGGTCAGAAGATCCCCGAACTCCCACACCACGTGGTCCGTCGTAGGCAGAGCGCCTGTACACCACGGGCATTCCCAGAGTCGTTGCCTTGGCCCCGCTCGAAGGCGGCAGGTGACACAAGGCCTCCCGTGAGCACCGCCAAAGTAGACGGATGTTCTTGCACGGTGGCGATGACGGCCTTGAAGCGCTTCGCGTCGTAGCAGGCAGTCTGGCACGCCTGCGCGTCGTTTCGTGTCGTGGCCAACCAGCTGTGGAACTTGTGATGCCGCCACGCTTCCCGTAGTACGTGGCCCAAGGCCTTGGGCGAGTGCCAGTGTTCATCCGTGCTATCCAGGAAGATCGTCTCGTTGATCCCGTGGTGGTACCATTTCCACCCCGTCCAACTGAGGTGCTGTCTGATAGTGCCTGCCATGGTCCGTCCGGCCCCCCAAGCGCCTGGCGTGTTGCCGTCGTTCGTTCCTCTGGCTGAAACCCGCGCTGCGGCGACAACCGTCTCCTGTTGAGCACGGAACCGCGCGTCGACTTTGTGGCCCACGACTAGGCACTTGAGGTGCGGCGACGACCGTCGTGGTACACCTGTGGCTCTGTGGACGGCCGCCTGGAGTTTGTCCACGGCCGCGCGCGGCGGCGCGGAGTTGAACCACCCGTACTGAGACCAAGAGAGTGGCCCTGCAGTTATCGCCTCCTGCCGCTGTCGGGGAGGGAGCGGCAGCAACCGCGCGCGTTCCACCTGTCGTTGTGCTCTGGACACGCGCTTCGCCTCCTTGGCGCTGGCGGCCCTGTGCTTTCCTCCCGTGAGTTTCATCCCCAAGATCGTCAAGCTTGGGAAGATGATGACCGCGTGGACACCCAGCGCCTGCAGCTGCCGCCGCTTCCGCGGGTTACGATGCGCCCACTGCTGTTTGCCGTTGTTCTCCACCATACCCAGGGCTTGTGACCAGTCTTCCCAGATGGCCGCGGCGCCAAGCTTACCGTCGAGAGTGCGAGACGTCCACGTACGGTCGTCGACGTACAGGGCCGTGCTGACCCCGGGCTCCCGCGCAGCAACCTCACAGAGCGGGCCCGCGATCACGGCTGTAATGGCCAAGGCGGACCAAGGATCCTCCTGCGGGAGGGAGGTGGTTTCGTTTTCTGGCTGCTTCACAGTGGCCCCATGTAGCTGTAACCACCGTCGTTTGCTGGTCCATTGCCTTCCCAACATTTTCGCGACGTGTTTGGGCATACCCATCTGCTCCATTGCTGTCGCTGCTGCCGTGGGATGCACCCGCTCAAGCGCCAAGCTGTAGTCCCAAGACGCACCGAACTCGCCCGCCTCCAGGGCAGCGATGACCCGCGCCGCCGCGCCGTGCACCGCAGCACCCTCCTTTGCCCCGTGGGCCTCTTGCGGCCGCCATTCTTTGCACCAGGCGGCGCAGGATAGAGAACGCGGGCGAGCTGTGGCCCGGACCCTGCACCACGAGCTGGAAACACCGTGATCGGTCGGAGCTGCGAGACCGCGGCGGCCCCGCCCCCCCGCCGGCGGGCTCTCCTTGGGGAGGTGGATCTGCCGCGCCTCCGGCCATGGACCCCCGGGAGGGCTTCTGCCATCTCTCAGGAGGGAAAGAAACACACAGACACTATCAATCGTCGTTTCCCCAGAAAATATGGGAAAATATGGGAAGTGGGGGGGAAGACAGAAACCCAGAAAATATGGGAAACTATGGGGATTTTTTTATTTGAGGGTATTTTTTTGTGTGTCCTGGGGCCCCCTCAATCTCAAGGGCGTCGAACACCACGGCGACGGCCGGGGCCACCAGGCCACCAAGGTCAGCCACCTCTGTCCCAGACCATCCGTCGGCACCTGCCGCTGAGCCCCGCGGTCGGTCCATTGCGCCACGCACATCGAATGCGTCGTTGATGTTCCAATCCCGTTGCGGGAGCCGTTTGGTCCACAACCGCAGTTTGTCTCTCCACCTGTCTGGGACATCCCCGAGGCTTTGCCTCCTCCTGGCCTTGCTGTGAGGCCGCTCTCCTTCTGTCCCCCCTCTTTGTTAATTCAAGCTTCGCGCGGCCCGCTTAGCTTCGACCGGAAGAGGTGCGCTCTCGACCCGCGAATCAAAAAACCTGTCTGGGACATCCTGGTCCCAGATTTCGCGCCACCGTTCCGACGGCAGTTGCAGCGCTCCCTCTGTGCACGTGGTAGTGGTGGTCGCAGCAGGGGCGGCGCTACAGTCGTCGTACAGTGGCACGCCCCGCACGGGCGTCTCTCGGCGCAGCCAACTGTGTACCCTTCGGCGGCTGTTCCAAAGCCCAGTCTCCCAACGTCGTAAACGTGCTGCCCGTGCCTGGTCCCGCTCCAGCCGTAGTCGGTTTTCCGCGTCCCGTCGTAGCTCCTGCCATCGTTCCACCCCGTCGCCCACTTGGTAGTCGTAGGCGAACTCTCGCCGCACGCAGGCGTTGTTATAGGACACAGGACTCCTGCTCCCCCCCCCGGCCGCGGCGCACCAAGTACAGCAGCCTGTTGCACCTCGCGATGAGATTTGTGAGTTGTCGCTCCTGAGATGGCGGATGTGGAACCACGCAGTTGGTCCGCATCTGCTTGCGCTTGAGCTTGACCTCACCCTTGTGACACCAAATTGGAGTATGCCGCGACATGCGCACGTTGCTGTTGTGGTGCCTGCTGCCGTCGTCGCTTTCCCCCTATCCTTGCTCGCCCGCCTCTGCCTCCAGGGCCTCCTGCAGCATGAGCCGGGCCCGCTCCCTGGTCGTCTCCAGAGCAACAGAAAACTTGGCGCCAAAGGTCGTCCACCCAATACTGCGCGTCCGTCGACGCCGTCGGGTTTGCCCACGCACCGGTGCCTGCCCAACTCCCACTCGACACACAAGGGCCGTCGTCATAGGTCAGCCCCGAATACCACGACCCTGTGGTCCGCCACCGCCCTCCCGTCAAAGCCTCGAGCACGTACGTCGCAGTTGTACACCACAGCGTAGTCGATGCACCGAGAGGTGTCCCATCTCGTAGGTAGGGGGATGCCCTGCCCATCGCGTACAATCACGCGCTGGCAGTGTTCCCTCGATACAGGTACTTCCGCCGGTACCGTGTTCCAATCTCCAAAAGCCACCCAGAAACCGCGCCGTCTGCATTTGTGCAGTCACTGACAACACGCATCACACGGTCCACCTTTGCCACAGGTGCCTTCCATATATTGAACACAACCACGCCCTCCACCAGCGTAGCCAGAACCTGACCATGAGCCCCAGCTTCCTGCAAGTGGTGCCGCGACCGTAGAGTGTGCCTCTTCAGTGTGACCACACCGCCCCGCGACCCGCAAGGGCCAGAATTACCTGGCACATGGTATGCCCGGTAACCGTTGTTGTACGCCGTATTGCAAAACGACCGCACCGTAGAACCAGCAAGTCCCACCTCCTGCAGGCAAATGACGTCCACCCCGTCGTCGTACGCCATCCGCGCCGCCTGCCACGCGCCAGCCTCACTCCGAACACTGCAGGACCACATTGTGTAAGGTAGTGGCCGCTGGGCATTCGGGGCCGGGGCCGTGTCCTCCCAGCTTTCCGTGTCCGCGTCGCTCTCCGCGCCCCCTCGGAGACAGTGCAAATGGGGCGGGCGCGCTCCAGGAGCGCCCCGCGCGCCCCGTCAGCGTGCCCGGGCGTCGGGATGCCCTTCGGCTCGGAGACGTTTCTGTTTCGCCTCCCATTTGTGGTACGCCGCCGTCTGGTCCTGCTTAGCGTAGGCCCGACCGTGCATCTCCTCCATGTGTCGTTTCCTGTTCGTCTGCCACTCCACCTCTGTAGTCCGTGGGAGCCACTTGCCGCACTCCGGGCACTTCTTCTCCACGAGGTGCGCTGGGATCGGCACTTCCAGGTCACTCTGGCCCCAGGGAGGCTCGGATCTCATCTTCCGACCGTGGTACATACAAAGCGGTCCGACGGCAATGGAATTGTGCTGCTGGCACTCCTGGGTGTGCTCGCGCAAGGTGTTTGCGCCGTTTCTTGATCACCACTTGTTGGCTATTGGTCTTCGAATCCGCCACGTAGCCGCACTGCACAGGCGCCGGGCCAACGTTCGGGTCAGGAACAAGAACTGGGCACACCCACCGTCATTGCTTTCCCCTGGCGTGGTACTCGGCCGCCGTGGGGTTCGTGATCGCCGGCGCCGGCTCCGACGGCCCTGGGCCCAGTGAGTCTTGCGCCATGTCTGCAGCGACGCTGGCGCATACAACGACGGTGCCCACAACTGTAGATGGTTGGGTGTTCCGCCAGGCTAATTAAAAGCGCATGCGTGCGGCGCTCAGGCGAGAACCACATTCTGAAAACGACACGCCCTCCATCTGCGAAGCAGTTCTCGACTTTTGAGTTGCAGGGTCATAAATGGTGAGGAGCTCTCAGGCGAAACGTTCGGCCCGCCCCCCCCCAAAAAAAAGTGGCCTCGGGGTGCGACAAGGAGTTGCTTACAAGGATCGGGACGGACGAAAGGGGGGGATTGGAAAAGGGGAGGGTATGAAATTTGCTGCATGCAGCTGGTTTCGGCCCCACCGAGGGGCCCATTCCTCGATACATAGCCGCCTCCGGCGCCGGGAGGCGCCGGGAAAATCAGCCACGTGAGCTGATTCTCAAACCCCCCCTTTGCTATCCCTCCCTTTCGCCCGACCCGAAAGGAGGAGGAACATGGATGAGGAGTGGCAGGAGGAGGCCTCGGAGGCCTCGGACGCGAGGGGGATCTCGGGCGCCCCCCCAATTCGGGAGGTCGGTGCCGCGCTGGCGCTGGCTGCCCGCGACCCGGGCCTCTACCGCGTCGAGCCCCCGAGCGGCGGCGGGCCCCCGCAGGTCCTGCTGCGCGCCCCGCCCGCGTGGTTCGCGGGCTGGGTGGACCCCGACGCCCGCGGGGAGCTGCCCCCCGGCGTGGCCCAGGCGCGGCGGGGAGGGGCGAGAGAGATGGCGAGCCAACAACACACACACCCATACCCATGGGGGGGTCGGAGAGGGCCATGGGTGCGTGTTGTCGGATGGGGGTCCCCGCTCGAACGGGAGCGTTCCCCGGGGTCCGACAGCCCGCACCCATGCCCATAGCCAGTCCTCCTCTCAACGAAGCCCCCTATGGGTATGGGTGTGTGTGTGTGTGTTGCTCGCCCGTCAGGATCGAGGGGGGCTTCTGCGGCGTCTTCGGGGGGCCTCGCCTGCCCCCAAGAGACTGGCGTCCTCTCGCGGGCCGGGCGAAAGGGCGGGGGGTGGGAAAGAGGGGTTACGAAGTTTGCTGCGTGCAGCTGGTTTCGGCCTCGCCGAGGAGCCCACTCGTCGATACACAAGCCGCCTCCGGCGCGGGGAAAATCAGCCACGTGAGCTGATTCTCAACCCCCCCCCTTTGCTATCCCCCCCTTTCGCCCGACCCGATTCTCTTGTGCCCGACGCGGGCTCGATGCGGAATCGACGCGGATAGTGCCGCGACGGGGCAGACAAGGTCTCTCGAAGATGTAACGTGAAGGGGGGGGGCAGACCCTCTTGTGTCGGTCAAGATCAAGGGGGTATTTTTTTCGTTGTGTTCGGCCTTCCGGGGCCCTTGCCGGGCCTCGGGACCGTCAAAACGGACTGGGTGAAGAACCGGTTCAGGGGAAGGGGTCAGACCTCTGGGGGTCGACGTTGTGGAAATCACGACGTCGGGGGTATGAGGGGGGAGCAGAGAGAGAGAGAGAGAGGAACAAAAAAGAAAACACAAACAAGTTACATGTGTTGTTTCTACGTTGACGGGGGGCAGCGGCGGTGGGCATGGCGAGGACGGCGCGGATGAGGAAATTGGCGCTGCAGATGCCGGTACTAACCGGACGCTGCCCGAATCTGAGCACGGCATGTCGCGACCCGAGGTAGGGAAGAGGGAGCAGGGGCATCGAGGGTGATAGTGATGAGTAGGAGGATCAGGATGTCTAGGAGAGGCAAAGGCGCATAATTGAGGAGGAGAATGAGGAATATGAGGAAGATGACGAGGAGGAGGATGAGGAGGGGATAGTGAAGGTGTGGGAGGGAGGAGGAGGGAGGATGATGGAGAAGGGGTGGGGGGGGAGAGTTGGAGGAGGGGAGGGGGCAGGGGGGTGGGGAGGGAGCGAGGCCGTGAGGCTGGTAGATGACGAGAGCACTGCAGGGGGGAGGTACAGTCGAGCTTGATTGGTAGGCCGACCCTGTTAAATCAAGGGTGCCCATGTGTCCTGTGCTTCGAGACCCACGCCTTCCGCACTCCTATGGTCACGTGGCCTTCGGAGGGGTCTTGTGTCCTCTCGCGTGTCCTCTCCAATCAAGCCCAACAGTACGGGGGATGGGGCAAGGGGGGGGGGCGTGCCTGTTGGATCCCGAGGCGCTGTGCGACCTGGCCGCGCTCTCTGAGGGCTTCTTCAAGGGGGGCAGGCGCGAGCTGGCGTCGGCGATGCAGAGGCGGGAGGAACCGTTGCAAGCTTCCCACCCTCGTTCCTTCCCCCTCGTCCCGCCCCCCTTGCCGCTGCTCCTCCGCGCGGGGAGCCTTGAGCCAGCATGGCTGAGGAAGGAGGGCGGAGGAGGAGGAGGAGGAGGAGGAAAAGAGGGAGGAGTATGAGGAGGGGGAGGAGGAGGACCAGTTTAACGTCAAACGCACCAGCGATACTGCACGCCACCCTTCCCCCAAGCTCTATCTCCATATATCCCTATGAGACTTTGTCTCCACTGCGGGAGGTACCACATTGAGAGAGAGCAGTCTGAGAACCTACAATCGTACCAAAACAGTATTCCTGGGACTTCAACGCAGCGAATCAAAGTAACTCCCGCGACCTGGCAGCCCTAGATCGCGCAAGAACACAACACATCGAATAATCTGATTGCGTTCGGACAACCCTGCATCGTGCCAAACACCCCACTGCTGGGACTCCAACCCTACGAACCCCTGAATCTGCTGCAAAGTTGTAAGACGAACGTTCGGGGCGCTGAGGCAAGAGCCACATTTTGACAACCAGCGGCCCTCCATCCTCGAAACGGCTGCAAACTTTTCGTAGGTTTGAGCAAAACCGTGGGTGTACATCCCGCGAGGCACGTCTGGAGAGAGAGCTCCCCTCCCGTTCCCTGTCCTCTCTCCCCCTCTCTCTCGGTGCCCGTCGTCTCTCCCCTTTTCTCTGCAGCTCTTTTGGGTCGAGGCGGACCGTCCTGGCCGCACAGCGGGGCCCAGGCTCGCGCGGGGGCGCGGGCGCGGGCCGCGTTGGAGGCCGCAGTCGCAGGGCCCAGCGGCCCTGGCCCTGGCTGCAGCGGGCGCGGGCGAGGGGCGCCCCGACGGCTTGCAGAGGCACGGGCCCGCCGCGGCACGCAGCGGGGCGCAGAGGAGACAGGCGCGAGGGTCCCCACACCCGCTGCGGCGGGACGGGGGTGCGCGCTGGAAGAGCGAATGCCGCCAGGGGGTCATGGCGTGGCTCCTCGTCAGCGCACCGCTGATGGCCGCCGCGGGCATCGGCTGGCGGGGCGGCGCCGGCATCGAGCCCTGCCGCCCCTCCCCGCGACCTGGAGCCGGTGGGCGGGCGGCGCTGGCGGCCAGGGCGGAGCGCCCGAGCTGCCGGGCCCCACGGCCGCCCCCCCCCATGCCGGCGCCGACCCCCGAGCCCGAGCCCGCCGAGCCCGAGAGCTGGGCGCGCCCGCCCAGGAGAGTCCCCCCAGCGACCCAGCGCAGGAGGAGAGCACTACAGCGAGGATCGGGAGAGGACCAAACTGGAGTTCCTGATGGCGAAGCTGTCGACCGGCACGAGGGTGGGCTACGAGAGTGCCTGGAGGCAGTGGGCGCTGTTCTGCAGGCGCGCGGGCGGGACCCCTACTTGCTGGGCGGCGACGCCCGGGCCCGACGTCAGGACGAAAAGCTGATTCTAGGTTTCGTCGTCCGCGCGGCGCAGTACTTTCACCACGCAGAGGGGACCGTGAAAGCCAAGCTTCTCGGCGTGCGCTTCCACCACTTGGCAGCCGGCCTGGAGGGCCCGCTGGTACACAAGGCAAGGATCTGGCTGGCGCTGGCGGGGGTCAAGCGCCTCCAGGGCGGAACGGCTCGCAAGTTACCGGTGACCCTGGACATGCTCCGATGGCTCTGCAGTCGCCGGCAGGAGGACGTGGGCGACGACGCCGCGAAGTGGGCCGCGCTCACGGTGGCGTTTTTCTTCCCCTTGACGGCCGGGGAGTACGTGGCGGTGGGCGGGGCCCCCTGGCATGTGGGCCGAGCGTTGCGCGAGGCAGACGTCCAGGCCAGGAGGAACGGCGTAGCCCAGGACCGGTTCGAGGGGGCCGACGAGGTGATCGCCCATGTACGAGGCTCGAAGACAGACCAATACAACCAGGGCGGGCTGCGCAACATGTACTCCACCAACCTGCCGATCGACTGCGCGGCGGCGCTGGCCCGGCTGCAGCGCGTGCACCCCGAGCGCTGGCAGCAGGAGAAGGAGCAGCCACTTTTCCGTCTGGCCATGGGCCGCATGCTGAGGAGGTCTAGGATCCAGGAGCTTCTCTCGCTCGCGGCGAGCGCAGTTGGGATCGACCCGACGAAGATGGGCAGCCGCAGCCTCCGCATAGAAGGTGCCACAGAGGCGGGGGTGGACATCGAGACCATCAAGAGGATTGGTCGCTGGTCCAGCAGTGCGGTGCATGCCTGCCTGTGGGACACGCACGAGAGGCAGAACGGCATGGCCGCCAAGATGCTGCAGCCCGACGGGATGCTGGTCGGCGCGGGCACGGCGCCAGAGGGTTACCACGAGGACCCCAAGGGAGCCCGCGCCAACATTGCGCGGAGGAGGCTGGACCAGCGTGAGGCGGATGTCAGAGCGAGAGCGGGCCGTGAGGTTGAGGAAGTAGAGGTCCCCGAGGGTGGGCTGCGCCCCCCACCCTCGGAAGACCCAGGGAATTCCGCCAGTGCGGAGCCCGTTGCAGCACGGGGCACAGCGGCCCAGAGGAAAGAGAGGGAGTCCAGTGCCAGAGCATTGGCCAGAGTCGTGAGCGGAGGTGTTGCCGCGCCCGTCGGGCTGCGCAGGGATCGTGAAAATGTAGTTTTGCGTGGCGGAGGGTCAGGCCTAACAAAGCGTTGGAGCCCGCACCAGTGCCAGAAGAAGAAGAAACATTCCCGTCAGATATTGTTCAGTGTGATTATTCTAATACCTATGTAGGAGCGCTTCGCGCATCAGAGGCGCTTCGCGCCAGCCGTGCACACCCCAGTCGTGCGCGTAGTGTTTCTCGTGGCTGTGTCCACTTAGCCGGCTGGAAATTCAACTCGTAGGTTTGAGCAAAACCGTGGGTTTTAATACCGAACAGCACGTTTGGAAAGATCTCCCATTCCATTCCCTTCCTCGGTGCCCGTTTTCTCTCCCCTCTTCTCTGCAGCTCCTTTGGGTCGAGGCGCATTCCCGCCCTCCACGCCCACGCCTCGTTCGAGCTTTGCCTGACCCCCCCGACGGCAGAGGGCCGCAGAGGGTCTGGCATGACAAAGTGTCGGAGCGGGCACCAGTGCCAGAAGAAGAAACAGTCGGGTCTGATATTGTTCAGTGTGAGTATAGTTATAGTTATAGTTATAGCTATAGCTATAGCTATAGCTATATTTATATATAGTAACGCCTCGCGCATCAGAGGCGCTTCGCGCCAGCCGTGCACGTCCCAGTCTTGCGTTTAGTGCTCCTCGTGGATGTGTCCAGTTAAGTTCGCCGACCGGGAATTCAACTAATCATTATGTGTGCGGCGTTAATGAGAGAGCTACATGTTGAGCGCCACTGCTTCTCCGTCCGTGAGACGGTTGCAAATGTATAGGGCGAGTGTGCGTGACGTTCAGGCGAGAGCCACATGTTGCAGAAGAGCCGCCCTCCGCTGCATCAAGCAAATGTTTGAGACGACTGCGCGTGACGCTAAGGCGCGAGCCACAAGTTTCAAATGCGCCGCCCCCCAATCCTTCACACGGTTAACAACATGTTTAGATATATGGCTAATGTGCGCGGCGATAAGGCGAGAGCCACATGTTGAGAACCACCACATATTCGTGACTTTGCTTCAAACGTATATATGCGCGCCGCCGCTACAGCGAGGGCCACAGTTTCACAACGACCTGTCCTCCATCCGTGAAGTTGCAGCAGTTCTCAAGTTTCAGGGTCTCAGATGGTGAGGAGATGTCAGGCGAAACGCCCGATCCGACCTACGGACAGGTCTGAGGGTGCGACGGGGAGAAGGGGTGGAGGGGAAGGAGGAAGCGGATGATGAGGATGAGTCGGCGTTGGAGGAGGAGGCGGACGTGGGCCGGGCTTTCGAGCGCCATGCGACCCTTGCAAGAGGCGCGGGTCCGAGTGTCTGCAGAGCCGGAGCCTGGGGGAGCTGACGCACCTGGCCGCGCTCGCCCTGGGGTCCACAGGCCAGCGAGTGTGCCCGGGAGCTCGACTCCTGTGCCCCCCTCCCTCCCTCCGCGCCCGCCCCCCCCTCCCCCCTCGTCCTCCTGGGCCCCGCCCTCTCGTCCCCCTCCCCTCACGCCTCTCTCCCCTCTCCTTTTCTTAGCCGAGCTCCTAGGCGGTCCTCCGCCTGTAGCGTCAACTCTCCCCTCTCCCGCCCGTCCCCCCTCCCTCTCTCTCCAGTCCGTGCCCTGGACATGGTCCCTCTCGCAGGCTCCGGGCCTGAGGGGAGGAGGGGGTCCCTGGGAGAAACACGGGTCCTGGGCCCCGGGACTTTCACTTGGGGACCAGCTTCCCGCCCGGGCTTAGGCTTCGCCGACCCCAGCGACCTGGAGGGCCCCCCCCCCCCCCCGAGAGAGGCCAAGATCGGCGGGAAAGACCTCTGCGGCCACTCTCCATCGGGACATCTTTTCATTGGTTATCCTCTTCCTTCTTCGCCCACTTATCATTATGCTTACTCTTCTTTGTTGCCCTTCTTACGGATTTGTATTTTAGTCTTATTATCATTATCATTCGTCTGCTCCTTGTTCCCTCACATCCGCCGATCTGTTTTTTTTCAACCCGTGGCCCCAAACCTCTCGACCCGTTCCCAAAGGGTTATCTTCTTTGCCCGGATCAATGTTGGAGAGCTCAGGTGCCCGATAACGGACCCCAAAGGCCGAAATCGAGGAAACACGCCAAGACGCGTGAACAACAGATCGCCGGAGTTCTGGGTACTATCTGCGTTGTCTTCTTCATGGAATTATCATTATTGTGTTTCGTTTGTATCCTTGGGATCCGACGTACAGATCCCGTCAGTCAGCGGAATTTCCCAAGCCGGATTGATCCGAGAGAGTTCTAGTGCCCGAAACAGGGCGAACTCGGTTGGTGTGAACAGAATGCGACGCCTGGATTTCAGGCTTCTCCCTCTTCTGTCTATCATCCGTATCATTCCTCCTCCTCGTAGCGATCCGTCTTTGGCTGCTCCGAGCCCCGATAACGGGCCCCGGGGGGCCTGACTCGAGGTAGAGCGCCAGAATTGTTTTTTTGTTTACAAAAGTCGGAGGTGGACAGACCTCCTACCCTGACACGTCGATTAAGGAATTGGCCGTTTTCGGTTCGCGAGAGGGCGTCGCGGCCGTCACTTTTGCGGGTCCAGGTCCGTCGGTTTCGGTCCCAGGCCGTTTTTTCTTTGAAGGGAGGTTTACTAAAGGGAGGTTTGTCCACCGCCGAAAATTATATATATATATATATATTCACATATATATGTATATATATATATATGTATATATACACAGATATACATATACACATATGTTTATATATATAATCGTCGGAGATCAGGGAAACGGACCGCTGCCGCCGCTCCCCCAGACCCGCTCTCTGGCCAGAGCCTCGAGGAGCGGCCTGCCGTGGCGGCGGGGACCCTCGAGGGACGAGCGAGCGGCGGGATCGGCACGCCTCCTCCCCCCCTCTGAGCTGAAGTCGGGCCTGTCCCTCTTCAGGAGGAAGATTCGAAAATAGTCAAACATAGTCCAGGGACGATTGTTTGACCATTTTTGACCATATGGGGGGTATTTCGGGAGTACTTGGTTTCTTTTTCGCCACGGGGGCCCTGCAGGACGAGCGAGCGGCGTCTTTCCACGCCTCGGGCCGAGCGGACAGAGTACCGACGCTGCAGACGCTTTGTTTCATTTCAACTTGGCCCCTCTCAGCACTCGTCGTGACATCCGCATCTTGGGGCGCCTCCCTCCCCGACCCCCCCCCCCCCAGGTGCCTCCGCTCAGACCAGAGTGTTGAGGCGAAGCCAGCGGTGGCGACGAGGGCCCCCCAGGGAGGCCCGAGGAGGAGGGGAGCGCGCGAGGGACAAAAGGTGCAGGCGGCACGGGCGCCTCGGACTCTCCTCCGCGGGGGTCGTCTCCCCATCCGTGGTGCTCTCGCCTCTGCCCCCCTGCCGCGCCCGCGGCAGGCCCGCTGCGCTACGCCCCGCAGCACGGCGGGCGCATCCAGCGGCGGCCCGGCGGCGCCCCGCGCGGGCGCGGCGCCGCCCTGGAGCCCCGCGTGCCCGCGGCGGCCCCGCTCCGCGCCGCTGCCGGGGCCGGCGCGGCGCCGGCGCCCGGGGGCGGCGGTGCACGGGTCGGCAGGAAGGGAATGGCTACGGGAAGAATTGGTACAATTTAGATCAGGAGGGAAAGAAACGCACAGACACAATCCATCCTCGATTTCCAAGAAGATATAGGAAAATATGGGAAGTGGGAGGGAAGACAAAAACCCAGAAAATATGATGGGAAAATATGGGGAATGATTCTATTTGTGTGCATTTATTTGTGTGTCCTTGGGCCCCTTCATTAGAGGTCGCTTGGGGGGCAGCGTTGTTTCCAGGGACAGATCCCAATACGCTCAGCCAGCGCGCTTGATCCGTCAACAAGAATCCTTACGACACCCATTCGCGACAAGTTCGGACCGTAGGTTTGCTCTTACCGACGATTGGGCTACTTAGGTTTGCTCTTACCCTACGAGCATTGCCTCCTCCACCGTCGCCCCAGAAACACAGATCGCGTTCGCTGCCCCTCAGCGAGCTGAAAGGTACAATGCCCAACGGCAGTTCCTGCTCATTTTGAACAGGACTCGCTGTCGGTGTCGCCGCGGCCTGTGTACATTTGAGACAGAGGGCCGCCTGCCCAACAGCGGCCGCTGTTGGTTTGGGGCACCACTGGTTCTTGGGCATGGTACCCATTTTTGTCCGTACCCATTTCGGGCGTCCAAAACCAGCTCTCCTTCGCCATCTGCCCTCGTCGTCGTCGTCCTGATTCGTGATGGCTGAAGAGATTCCTGATTCCTGATGGCCTCAGTTCTAGGCCTTCTAGATGGGGTCGGGGTAGATTGGGTCGGAGGATCGCGCCGCATCGCCGATGCATCGCCGATACGGCTCGACGTGGGGCCCGATATGCTTCGTTTCGAAGTCGCTGATGTATCGCCGACGTTGAAGATGCATCGCTGGTGCATCGCCGATGCATCGACGATGCATCGACGGTGCGGCGCGATCCTCCAACCACATCTACCCGGATCCCATCTCAGAGGCCTGCATTAGTTTCATCAATCTCCCCAGGGCCGGGCGGCCGTGGGGGTGTGGATCAAACGAAGGCCAGGCGACCCCTGGAGCACCGCTCCAAGGGCCACCGGCCCCAGCCCTCCCCAACCCTGGGGCGGGTCGGCCCAGGGGGGGGTGATCAAACTGAGGGCCAAGGGACCCCTGGAGCACCGCTGCAAGGGTCACCGGTGGGATTTGGTCGCCCTCCTTTGCCTCTCCCTCCCTCCTCCTCCTCCTCCTCCTCCTTTTCCTCCTCCTCCTCCTCCTCCTCCTCCTCCTCCTGCACCATGAGGCAGCCACGCAGAGAGGAGGGCGGGGGGGGAGGGCGGAAGGCTTCCTAGAAGCGCCCCTGCTGCTTAGAAGGCGCGGGCCTTGTCTGTAGGCGTAGGTTTGGCGCATTCTGAGAAGCTGCCGCCTTCTAAGAAGCCTTCACCCCTCCCCCCTGCCCCCCTGTGCGCGCCGCCAGATGAAGGAAACGGGTCCTGAGGGAAACGGATGCTCGGGTGAGCGGCGCAAAAGACGGGATCGTCTAAGTTGCTCGCGTAAGGTCGCGCGTAAGCGCCCTCGTCTCCAATGTAGTAGCATGCCGCGCTGGCGTCCCGCGTAAGCCGGTCGCTGCGACATCTCGCGAAAGATCCGTTGTTTTGGTTTCGTCTCGCAGGTGATTCGTGGTTTCGTTGGCTTCCTGGTGGGCCCTCAACGGGTCCCGGGACTGTCAGGAAACGGCTCAGGATAAGGTTTTTCGGGCGCGGAAAAGAGGGGGGTGATGACTAGGGGGTGGTGGATATCATGGCGTGGGCCATGATATTTCCCCAGATTTTATGGCGCCTTTTTATATCATTACGTCCCTGGCCCCCCCGCTGGGCCGCGCACATGCCGCCGGTCATGATTTGCACCCCCCCCCTCTTGGACACCCCCCTCTTGGCCTCTCCCGAGTTTTACCGGCGGCGAGCGAGGCGGGTAAGTGAGAAGGGGCGGGCCTTCTGAGAAGGCTTGGAAGCCCCTGGGCCTTTGAGAAGTTTGTTGTAAACCTCCCCCGAATGCAGGGAACACCTCTCTCGGAAGGCTAGAGGCCTACTGAGAAGCCCTGCCGCCTTCTGAGCAGGCCTTCTCCTTCTCCTTCTCAAAACATATATATATATATATATATATATATATATATATATATATCGGAGTGAGGAGGTGAGATCGAAGTGGAACGGAGAGCCCCCCTACCGGGAAATCGATTTCGGTTTGATGTTCGTGCGTGCCGTGCGTGCGGGCGAGGCGAAGCTGCGTGGGCGGGCGAGAAGAAAGTCTCCTGTGGCTGAGGCGCGGCCAGACCAAATGTCTCCCTTCCGGGCGGCCGGTGGCCCGCGGTGTCCCGCCGGTGTCCCGCTGGTGTCCCGTGTGGCTGAGGCGCGGCCGGACCAAATGTCTCCCTTCCAGGCGGCCGGTGGCCCGCGGTGTCCCGCCGGTGTCCCGCGGTGTCCCGCGGTGTCCCGCGGTGCCCCGCGGTGTCCCGCCGGTGTCCCGCGGTGTCCCGCGAGATGATGATGATGATGATGATGATGATGATGATGATGATGATGGGTGATGGTGATGGATGATGGTGATGATGATGATGATGATGATGATGATGATGATGATGATGATGATGATGATGATGATGATGATGATGATGATGATGATGATGATGATGATGATGATGCTGATGATGATGATGATGATGATGATGATGATGATGATGATGATGATGATGATGATGATGATGATGATGATGCTGATGATGTTGATGCTGATGATGATGATGATGATGATGATGATGATGATGATGATGATGATGATGATGATGATGATGATGATGATGATGATGATGATGATGATGATGATCGAGTGAGATCGAGTGAGATGAGTGAGTGAGATCGAGTGAGATCGATTGTGAGATCGATTGTGAGATCGATCGAGGGAGATCGATCGAGCGAGACCGATACTGAGATCGATAGTGAGATCGATAGTGAGACCGATCGAGTGAGACGTTGGTTCCTCCCCCCCCGAACCTCCTTATCACCCGAAGGGTGGTCGTATAGGTATAGATATCGTTTTTTTGTTTCTCTCTCTCTCTCTCTCTCTTTCTATATATATATATATACACATTAGCCTGACGGAAGGCCCAATCATCTGCAGCTGCGAGTACCGTATTGTGGGTACCGTTTTCGGTGGAGCTCCTTATGAGGCCACGAACCGTGTGAGGGGTGTGCCAGATTGAGCGCGGTGGTGTCAGGCGAACCCTCTCACTGGAGCTTTCGGTGGAGCTCCCCATGGGGCCACGAGCCGTGTGAGGGGTGTGCCGAATTGGGCGCGGTGGTGCCATGCGAACGCTCCCACTGGAAACTTCGGTGGAGCTCCCTATGAGGCCTCCAATCGTGTGAGGGGTGTGCCGAAATGGGCGGGGGGACGCATGCGGACGCGGCCTCTGGGGCCGGCGGTGGAGCTCCCTATGGGGCCACGAAGCGTGCGAGGGGTAGGCCGAAGTGGGCGGGGGGACGCATGCGGACGCAGCCACTGGGGCCTTCGGTGGAGCTCCTTATGGGGCCACGAAGCATGTGAGGGGTGTGCCGAAATGGGCGGGGGGACGCATGCGGACGCGGCCTCTGGGGCTTTCGGTGGAGCTCCCTATGGGGCCACGAAACGTGTGAGGGGTGTCCCGAAATGGGCGGGTGAAGCATGCGGACGCGGCCACTGGGGCCTTCGGTGGAGCTCCCTATGGGGCCACGAAGCGTGTGAGGGGTGTGCCGAAACGGGCGGGTGGACGCATGCGGACGCGGCCACTGGGCTTTCGGTGGAGCTCCTTATAGGGCCTCGAATCGTGTGAGGGTTGTGCCGAAATGGGCGGGGGGACGCATGCGGACGCGGCCACTGGGGCCTTCGGTGGAGCTCCCTAGGGGGCCACGAAGCGTGCGTGTGAGGGTTGTGCCGAAGTCGGCGGGGGGACGCATGCGGCCGCGGCCATTGGGGCCTTTGGTGGCGCTCCCTAGGGGGCCACGAAAAGTGTGAGGGGTGTGCCGAAATGGGCGGGGGGACGCAAACGGTGGGGCCTTCGGTGAAGCTCCCTATGAGGTTACGAAACGTTTGAGGGTTGTGCCGAAATGGACGGGGGGGGCGCATGCGGACGCTGCCACTGGGGCCTCCGGTGTAGCTTCCAATGAAGCCACGAAACGCGTGAGGGGTGTGCCGAAATGGGCGGGGGGGCGCATGCGGACGCGGCCATTGGGGCCTTCGGTGAAGCTCCCTATGGGGCCACGAAGCGTGTGAGGGGTGTGCCGAAACGGGCGGGAGGACGCATGCGGACGCGGCCACTGGGGCCTTCGGTGGAGTTCCCTGTGGGGCCACGGAACGAGTGAGGGTGTGCCGAAATGGGCGGGGGGACGTATGCGGACGCGGCCACTGGGGCCGTCGGTGGAGCTCCCTATGGGGCCACAAAACGTGTGAGGGCCGTGCCAAAATGGGCGGGGGGTCGGGGGGAAGCATGCGGACGAGGCCATTGGGGCCTTCGGTGGAGCTCCCTATGGGGCCACGAAACGTGTGAGGGGTGTGCCGAAATGGGCGGGGGGACGCATGCGGTGGGGCCTTCGGTGGAGCTCCCTATGGGGCCTCCAATCGTGTGAGGGGTGTGCCGAAATGGGCGGGGGGACGCATGCGGACGCGGCCATTGGAACCTTCGGTGGGGCTCCGTATGGGGCCACGAATCGTGTGAGAGGTGTGCTGAAATGGGCGGGGGGACGCATGCGGACGCGGCCACTGGGGCTTTCGGTGAAGCTCCCTACGGGGCCACGAAGCGTGTGAGGGGTGTGCCGAAATGGGCATGCGGTGGGCGTCGGGGGCGCATGCGGACGTGGCCATTGGGGCCTTCGATGGAGCTCCCTATGGGGTTACGAAGCGTGTGATGAGCGTGCCGAAATGGGTGTCGATGATGGTGGCAATAACGGCGATGCTAATGATGGTGATGATTAAAATAATCTGCCGACAATAATGGTGGCAATATGAATGGCGATGAT